CTGTTGAGGGAAGACACAGCAGAAAACCCAACAAACAATTCCATAACATGCGAACGCCCCTTCAATGTTGCCGGACGAATGCACGTCTGCCGGTCCGATCACTCTCTGCTCACGCATTGCACGGCATGAAGCATGTTATGATGTTAGGGTTTTGAAACCCAGTGTTACGTTCTGAAAGTGGCATCACCCTGCGATGGGACCCTTCTTTGCGGTGTGTCAGCAGTTATGCATCGGAGGTGCGTCTTGGAGGGGGGTGTTTGGCTTCGAGGTGCGTCTTGGAGGGTCTTGGAGGGTTGGCTTAGAGGGGTTTGGCTTCAGAGGTACGTCTTGACTGGGGGTGCTGGGCATAGACTTTGCGGTTGTGTTTGGTAGAGGTGCGTCTTGGAAGGGGTGTGTTTGCATGTGGGAGGGGGGGCATGCAATCGTCCGGCAACATTGAAGGGGCGTTCGCACGTTATGGTTGTTGTTTGTTGGATGTGCTGCTGTGTCTTCCCCCAATAGGGGCGCGCAAATCACAACACGCTGGAGCATGTTATCGCACTTTCCTGTGGTTTCCCCAAGAAGAGTCAGCAAATCATGGCGTCGTTGAACGCTTGATTTGCTGCCTCTTCTTGGGCGCCTCTGTTGAGGGAAGACACAGCAGAAAACCCAACAAACAATTCCATAACACGCGAACGCCCCTTCAATGTTGCCGGACGAATGCACGTCTGCCGGTCCGATCACTCTCTGCTCACGCATTGCACGGAGCACGTTATGATGTTAGGGTTTTGAAACCCAGTGTTACGTTCTGAAAGTGGCATCACCCTGCGATGGGACCCTTCTTTGCGGTGTGTCAGCAGTTATGCATCGGAGGTGCGTCTTGGAGGGGGGTGTTTGGCTTCGAGGTGCGTCTTGGAGGGTCTTGGAGGGTTGGCTTAGAGGGGTTTGGCTTCAGAGGTACGTCTTGACTGGGGGTGCTGGGCATAGACTTTGCGGTTGTGTTTGGTAGAGGTGCGTCTTGGAGGGGTGTGTTTGCATGTGGGAGGGGGGGCATGCAATCGTCCGGCAACATTGAAGGGGCGTTCGCACGTTATGGTTGTTGTTTGTTGGATGTGCTGCTGTGTCTTCCCCCAATAGGGGCGCGCAAATCACAACACGCTGGAGCATGTTATCGCACTTTCCTGTGGTTTCCCCAAGAAGAGTCAGCAAATCATGGCGTCGTTGAACGCTTGATTTGCTGCCTCTTCTTGGGCGCCTCTGTTGAGGGAAGACACAGCAGAAAACCCAACAAACAATTCCATAACACGCGAACGCCCCTTCAATGTTGCCGGACGAATGCACGTCTGCCGGTCCGATCACTCTCTGCTCACGCATTGCACGGAGCACGTTATGATGTTAGGGTTTTGAAACCCAGTGTTACGTTCTGAAAGTGGCATCACCCTGCGATGGGACCCTTCTTTGCGGTGTGTCAGCAGTTATGCATCGGAGGTGCGTCTTGGAGGGGGGTGTTTGGCTTCGAGGTGCGTCTTGGAGGGTCTTGGAGGGTTGGCTTAGAGGGGTTTGGCTTCAGAGGTACGTCTTGACTGGGGGTGCTGGGCATAGACTTTGCGGTTGTGTTTGGTAGAGGTGCGTCTTGGAGGGGTGTGTTTGCATGTGGGAGGGGGGGCATGCAATCGTCCGGCAACATTGAAGGGGCGTTCGCACGTTATGGTTGTTGTTTGTTGGATGTGCTGCTGTGTCTTCCCCCAATAGGGGCGCGCAAATCGGAGCACTTTATCGCACTTTCCTCTGGTTTCCCCAAGAAGAGGCAGCAAATCATAACGTGGTTGACGCGTTCAAAAACATGCCTGAACGCGTATGCCACGTTATGATTTGCTGCCTCTCTCTTCTTGTGCAAACTGCAGAAAAAGTGCCACAATGTGCTTTTGCGCGTTAAGAGCTAGCGAGTGACCGCCGATTTCGAAAGCTGCTCTAGTAAAACTCAGTACAACCCCCAAGTAACTTGAGCCAAGTTTTTTCCAAACCATCGTGTTTGCGCCGACGCGGAGCGGGGGCAATTCGGCTTCAGGCTTCACACTTCAGCGTCAGCTGGGGTAGTCGGCTTCACGCCGTACTTCATCAGGGGACCACTCGGCGTGACCCGGCGTCACCCGGCATCATGCGGGGTCACCAGCAGTGCAGGCCGGAGGTCGCCGCCGTGGTGCGGAATCCCAAGAGCACAAATCTAAATCCAGGTCGGCTCAACCGACAACAGAAACTCGTTTGCCTGCACATCAGCAACTTCTGTGCACATGCTCATGAACGAAATGACGCCCAGTGACCTTCTTGGATTCAAAACTCTGGAATTCTGGATGCGTTCATCGATAAGTTGGTTGAGGTATAGGAACAATTTTCCAAATGGGAAGCCCGTGACTAGTGGTACACTGGTGGTATAAATGTATTGTCACTCAGTCAGGATAACAAAAAGCAGGAGACCAGTTCCAAAGACAAACCCATCGTTTGCCCAGGTCTTGAGTTGCTTTGCAGATTTGTTTTGCATGCGCAGGGCCTTCGAAAGAGGATGGCGCCAACGTGCAGCGCGTCCGATGCCTCGCAATGCAGGACGCTATTGGAACCCGGCACGATGAGCATTGTGCAACCCCGCCACTGCCCACAACTGCCCACAACCTGCAACAATCTGCACGAACTGTTTGCCGCGCTTGAGACCGTGGCGTTCTGGGACGTTCTGGGACGTTCTGAGCTCACAGGATGGCGCCAAAGGCTGGGCCACCATCGCTGGGAACCAGGGCACGCCCTTCCTGCTCCAGGAGAGGGCTTCCCTGGCTTTACTTGCAAACGTTGCCAGTTGACGGGCTTGCAGGAGCTGAGCCCCGAGATCCCTGAGCCCAAGAGCACCGAGAGTGCCCAGAACGCTGAAGCCGACGCAGAAGTGCAGCTCTCTGCCTTCTGAATCGTGCTCTCCGTGTCCGATCTTCCTCTCTTATTCGAAAAGGTTACGCTGTGGACCTTCTGCCTCTGACTCGTATGCTCGTTGAAGTCAGGTGGAGGTGGGCGAAGTGGAAGGCCAGAGTGTTGTGAGTGTGCGTTTCGCTTCCGTGCTTCACAGCGTGTCTTGGGTCCAGGTGCAGAGGAGCCAGAGGAGGCAGAGGAGGCAGAGGAGGCCATGGAGCCTGAGGCGCCCGAGGCGCCCGGGGCTGCGGAGGCGCCGGCAGAGGCCGAAACTGCGGAGGCCGAAGCTGCGGAGGCCGAGACTGCAGAGGCGGAGGCCGAGGAGGCCGAGGAGGCCGCGGAGGCCGCGGAGGCCGAGGAGGCCACCGGCAACGAGCCTGAGCCGGATAACTAGATCGATCTGCTTGGGAAGAGAAAGGTAGGCAGTTTTGCAGTCAGACCTCAGTTCGATTGCCATCGATTGCCTGCACTTGCATGCAAGTGCATTTGCGCGAGCGCGCCATCCGCAGGAACTAGAGGCTCGACCGACCTGTAGAGATGGGCTGTGCAGCGGATGAAGAATGCACGGCCTGCCTGGCTCGTTACAGCCCCCGCCCCTGCCGGCATGGCGAATGCCCTGGAGGCCTGTGAGACAAGACCAGCAAGAGACCGACAAGACTTGCAAGATGCTTTCACGTTCACTTTTCGTGCTCACTTCTCGTGAACCTTTCTCACCGTCAGCCTTGGTCAGCTTTTCATCCTTTTCACTTCTCAAGTTGATTCTCAAGTCGCTCAAGACTTGCAGGATGCCACCCGCACGTGACATGAAGGTGCGAGAACTGTTCACTTCGTGTTCTTGACGAATCTCTTTGAGAACGCTTTTTTTCTCCTTCCGATTCCGTGGTTTTTGTGAGTGCAGGTGTACTGCGTGAGGCCGGGAAGTAAACTTGGAGAAGGCAGAAAAGGCGGAAAAGATTCAGAAAAGGCAGTGGCCGACATGTGAGGCCAATGACTTTGATGCTTGAACTTCGAGCTTCGAAGGCTTCGAGGTCAAAGGCGGTTAGTTCCGCAGCCAGAGCTGTGCATCTGTGCATGTGATGTCATGTGATGCGATGTGATGTGAGATGATGTGAGTCTCAAGCGATGTCGCGAAGGGTTCCTCCTTCTGGGGCACCTTGCGCAAGCGCAGCGCGCCTCTCGGTCATGCGAGATGCTTCGAGATGCTTTGAGGAGGCTTTGGTTGGGTCCGTCGAAGGCCGCCGCTGGCAGGGCCGGCAAAGCCGACACGAGCCCGAGAAGCAGAAATCCGGATTGAGATACACAAAGCTGCTCTGCCAAGATTCCTTTACGTGTTTCTTTTTGCGCATGCAGTCTGCACTTGAGTCTTTACAGTCGTGGCTCATTGTGGATTTCCTAGGTCGCCAGAGTCGCCATTCCCGCTGGTCAACCTGAGGAGCCTCAACGCACAAATGCAGCATATTGCAGCGTATTGCAGCATTTGTATCCTTATGTAGCACATGTAGCACCTGACGGAGTCAACAGTGTCCTGAAATCCATAAATGTCGCTCTGGAAAGGCACGTTCGAATCCGGACGCCTCTGCACTTCTTGGCCATGTCCCCAGAGCGACGAGCGCGACGAGCGAGACGAGCGCGATGAGCGCGCGTCTCTCTTCTCTCAGAGTTGCGCTTTGAGACAGGCACCTTGATTTCTTGCTGTGACTTGTGGTTTGTTGCGAGGATGATGCAGCCCGGCTAGCCAGAGTCTCGAGACTCATGCCTGTCATGCCCTACGCGCCTGTGCGTGGTTTGCTTCCACCGGTTTGCTTCCACCGGCTCGCAAGGATCCCTACAAGGTTCTGAACGTGCCCTTCCTCTCTGGGTCGCGCGGACTTGAACCAATTGCGCATGCTTTCAGTTGATCGCATTTCAGGACATTTGCTGCATCATGATGCGCCGCATTCCTGCCCTCCTGTCTTCTCTCTGTCTCTGTCTCGGTCCCTCTCTTTCTCCCTCTCTTTCTCCCTCTCTCTCTCTCGCTCTCTCTCTCTGGTTCTCCCTCCCTCTCTTTCTCTCTCTATCGCTCTCTCTTGGATCTTTTTTTTTTTTTTCTCTCTCTCTCTCTTTCTCTCGTTCTCTCTCTCGCTCTCTCTTTCTCTCTTTCTCTCTTTAACTCTCTTATTCTCACCGTCGTTTTCTCCATGCCCCTTCCTCTCCATCTCGCGCCATCCTTCGTTCTCCTTCTCCGTTTTCAACGCATCCTCTTTGACTTTTGCACCGAGGCGCCGGGGCATCCGACAGGCTCGGGGGAACCGCGTGGCACCTTCAGCTCTACGCGCTGCCCCTTCTCGCTCTCCTTCCCTTCCGAGTACAACTCTTGTCTGTTTTGTTTGCAATGTCTATATTTTCTTCTCTCTCTCTCTCTCTGTCTCTCGTCTCTCTATCTCTCTCTATTTCTTTCCTTTGGGGTTGATTCGAAGGCCTATGCGCGGCTCTGCAAGGAGCACCACCCAGACCTGAATGGCGGGCGCCAGTCCCGGGGCAACGGGGATGCTCGCTTTAGATCGTTGTCCGTATATCGTTTTTCTCAATCCATTTGGCGAAGCAATTCTCACTCCGAAGGCAGGAGAGCCTGGCGTGGTGGCCCAGCAGGGCCAAGGGCGACATGAGAGTCGAAACTCGAGACTCGTCGAGACTCGTCGAGACTCGTCGAGACTCGAGACTGGGTTCGGGACAAAACGCGACAAAACGCCTCTTAGGATTGGATGATGATCCGGCGTGCCTACCGGATCCTCACGGACCCAGAAGAGCGGATTGCCTACGACTCCGCCCGGAGCCCAGACTTGAGTTGCTTGAATGGCATGGAGATGTCATGAGATGTACACCGAGCTACCGAAACCCATCGAAAACCGAAGTAGCCGAAGCAGCGCGAGGCTCGGATCACCCGAAATGCTCTCAGCGCCACGGAGGCCAGAGGCTTAAAGGGCGCGGAGCGGCGTGAAGTTCCTGTCTGAACTGCGTCCTTGAAGTGTCCTTTTGAAGTGTCCTTTTGAAATGTCCTTTTGAAGTGTCCTTTTGAAGTGTCCTTGTGTTGAATTGTGCTTTTGAGAAGCGTTTCCGGAAGGGAGTCGTGGCCTTCTCCGTGGCTGCAGCGCAGCAGCTCGGCTCCGTCGTGTCCGATGTGGCCCAGGCTCCAAGGGACATTTCGTCTGCTGTAAGGACTGTAATGGCATGACCTGTGCACTTGAGGACATGACTCTTGCTGATGGCTCTCGGGTTCGGCTCTACATCACGAACACTCACCTCCTAGGGCTACTGTAGCTTTCTTTTCAACAGAAGGTGGGGTATCGGGCCCCAAGTTTCTACCAATCGTCAATCGTGACCTGTTCTTTCTAGACTGCCGGCTATTGGCTTTATGTTGAGGTTTGCACGGCCCAGAATGGGCTTTGCAGGGCTGGAGTAGGTTGCTGTGCTGGGTTATGCTTTATGACAGGGCCAGCAAGGAAGCTTCCGTAGAGGATGTTGAACAGTTCGGGGTTGTGAAGGCTGGAGCTGGGCCCCTTGAGGGGTCAGAAGATTAAGAAACACTGAGGGGAAGAGATGGCGAGCGCGAGGGGTTCTTGCTTTCCCCCCCATTCTCCGTTCCTTTCATTCTCTCTTTTCTTTTGAAGAGGCAGGGAGAAGAGAAGAGGACGAAGACGAGAGAAGAGAAATCCAAAAAGACGAGGGAAGGAGCAAATGATCTACCCTTTCCCTACCATCTTCCTCCCTCGGCTTCGTGCTGTATTCTTAAGCCATCAGTGGCCTGACCGCTACATCTGAGCGCGGCACCAAACAGGGGAACAACCCAGCTGCGTCCGACACCCGGTGATGCAGGATGCGTCCATCCCGACAACACGGCAGAGAGCATGGACGGCCGTAGGGCGAGGCCTCCGACACCTGCGTGAGTCTCCGGCGTCCCGCGAGATCTCAAGCACCACGCTTGCCAATGGGCCGTAACGCGACGCAAGAAGAACCTGACGGACCCAAGCAGATGCCAGGCAGGTGTACGCCTCATCATCTGCAATGCCCGTTATGGGGGCCTCCGAATGGATCTGTGTGGTATATCCACAACCAGTGCCAATCCCCATTCACTCCACCAACTCCTGGCGGCGGCGCAGGGCCGCCCGGGCGCGCCAGGACCGCACCGTGACAGACAGTTCCTGAAACAAGGCCGCGTGAGTCGTGGCCGATTCCACCCTCTCTCTTCCTTTCTGTCCTTTTGTTTGTCGTTTCTGTTCTCGTTCTCCCTTGCAGATTGTGCAAAAGAAGGTAGGAAGGGAAGAGGAGAGGGGAGCAGCGAAGACAGGGAGAGACAGCGAGGAGGGAAACACAGAGAGCGAGAGAGAGAAAAAGCAGGAGAAAGACAGATAGAGAGAGAGAGAGGGAGAGCAAAAACAGAAGAATAAAAACAATAATAAGAAGAAGAAGAGGCAGAAGCGAGAGTGTGAGAGAGAGAGAGAGTGAGAGAGAGGGAGAGCAACAGAGACAGGGGTGAGAGGGGGGGGAGGAAGAGGGCAAGAGAGGGCGTCTTTCCGTTTCCTTCTTTCTTGTGATTCTTTTCGTTGAAAGACAGAAAACAATGTTAACAAGTAATGAGGACCGTCCGTTTCCACGACTCTTCCTTTGCATCTTTTGCTTTTGCTTTTCCTTATTATCGAAAAGCGGTGGACTGGATAAGTAGAAAAGAGGAGCGGAAGAGGGATCAAAGAAACACAACGAGACAGAAATGGCTGCGCCCGGTCTTGGTGCCGGGGGGAGGGGGGTGGGGAGCATGATAGGATAGGGCCTAACGAAACATGTAAACTTCTTACCGACAAACCATAATCCCGTAAACCTTTGAACGCCAAATAGTAAGAAAGGTCCATGTCGGGCGCCAGGCTCTCAACCAGGTAGGACGCGGTGATTTGGCCGTGCCGCATTTTGTTGGGTAAGCTTCCTTCCCCTGACGGCTGAGCTCTTGGGCATCGGGCCAGGTTGCTCAAC